TCCGTTTGATGACGATTCGAAGTGCTGAATGTCGGTGGTTATAAAGTTCTTTTGCATTTTGTGGTGTCAAGTGAGAATTCCTCCACTCCTTGAGGTGATACCGCACCGATCGATAAGGGGTTAAAAAACCTGGTACGTTGGCATAACCAGCGTCGGCGAGATAGAACCAATCTGAGTTGAACAAACAGATCAATATCAAAGTATACAAAAGGAAAAGAAGAACAAAGATTTGTAAGTTTCTCACCTTCAGGAACTACAAATCTTCGTTCTTCAAGTGCTCAATGAAGAACCCGAGCATCCGCATGAGATCCTTCCAAACCGGCGTAAACAAATGTGAACATCATGTTGGTTGAACACCCGGCTAGAACGTTCTGGCTAAGATCCCCTTTGCGGTTTCAATGGGCTGGTTGTCGGTCGGCAGGAACAATACAAGGAATGTGGGTGCCATCGATGGCACCCACACATTTCTCAAAGTATGGGAAGAACCGTGGGTTATTCCTAATCTCCTTTGGACAAATCTCTCCTCCGGTAGGCTGGACGATATATATTGATTCGAGAGATGCTATGGCCCGGCAGACTTTGTTGAAATAACGGCTGATGGTGTGTCCAGAGCGTTGAAAGCGCTCTCCGGCGACTCGATTGGAGCCAGAGTTTCCAATGATATATAAAAAGATCATTATTTGCTCTTCCACCGTAACACTACGCTTGCAGTGGATGACAAGCTTGCCTTTAAGGGCTTTGATTAGTCCCTTAAAGGCAAGTTTGTCCATTCGACAAAGTTCTCGAAACCGAACATCACTGCCTTCGAGGATCTCATTTGTATATTGATTTCCTCGAAGCTTTGATGTTCGACATGGCTTTTTCTCGGTGGTTATTGAAGCAATGTAATCAATTCCGGCCTTGATGATAATCTTGAGAACTGCAATCGCGGGTCGAATGGATATAGAGGATGTGTCAGAGTCGGAATCGGAGGAACTCGACATGATGGGAACTTGGAAAAAGGGATGATTTGGATTATCAAAGGCTCATAACCTTTTTTTGTTCATTGCAACTCTCAAGACCGTTCTGGTTTTCAAAGATTCGAAAACCGTCCTTAATGATCATCAAATCAAACGCTTCATTACATCATTTTTCACGAATTCTGACAAAACGCGGATTTTGGGCTTTTTTACAAAAATCACTTTTCTACATGTAGAAAAGTGGTTGCTCGGAATGCGACTTCACGAAATCTGGCTTAAGTGAACACGACCTAAGTGAACGCGCCCTAACTCTTGATGATTTTTAAGAATTTCAATCATTTCATTTTTCATTAAAATTGATTTGTTTAAAGCTAAATTACCTCAAGGCCCACTCAAACACATTTCCCTGAGTATACTTGTGTGAATGATGTTAATAAAGCTGCAAAGTAGATCTTATGGAGTGTAACTCAGTTGAACAGGGCTAGACTTATTATTCATCCTCAGTTTGTCTTCTATTGCTCTTTTGCTCTTTTTGGTTTGATTTGGATTTGAATTGATTGTTGGTCTTTTGGTTTTGGTGGTTTGCCTCAGGCTGCTGATGCTACTAATATATAATTGTTTTTGCCTGCTGTAAAAGAAACAGTCAATTTTGGCTTGATTGTCTCTCCAATACATTGATCATGAGTTTGATATGTTCAGGATAACCTTGATTCATGTTGTAATTCTTGAAACTGATTCTCTTCTTTCATTTTCTTTTTTGTACACCCGGTTACACGAAAACCCGGTACACCCGGTTGACTTTTTGGCTGGAAGCTGTCAAGAGCTGTCACTAGATACACAAAGTGACCACCAAAAACGCAACTGGGTGTTTTTGAGTCGACCGGGTTTGGTTTGAACACGGCTAATATTCTTTTTTGTACAGACTGCACTCTGGGATAGCGGAATTCTATAAAAAGCCCTTTTTCATAATACAGCTGTTCAGGAAATTCGTGTCTTTTTCCTTTTTTTTTTTTTGCACATAAGGTTTGCCCTAAAATACAGCGTATACAGGGCTGTATCAGAGAACTCCGTCCGAGAACTCCGTGATTCTTCGACCATCCATGATCGATCACTCCTCCCACACCATCCAGATCCGTATCCTACGGTCTACCCTTTCATCAATACCCTTTCGTCAATCATCTCTTCAACCCGGTGCTTCGACCGGTCCTTCAGTGTGTTCACCATCCCTTCCATATATCGAAAGGCCTCCAGTATCAAGCACCAACTGTTCCTTCTGTCAAACCACCATCATTCCGGACATCTGTCAGTTGTTCTTTGCCTATTCGTCATTTCTTCTTTCTGGTCGCTATCCTTCCCCAACTTCGACTGATTCATTTCTGCATTTGTTAGGTTTCCGAGATGCGAACACCACGAGTCCGACCGGGAAAGTACGATGCCGGCATCAAGGTACTGGCCATCCAGTACCTTCGCGAAGGTATGACCAAACGTGAGGTCAAAGCGATGCTGCGATCTCCTGTCAGTTTGCGTACCCTCTCGCGATGGGAATCTCTATACCGGAACACATTCTCAGTTGTACGAAATCCGGCCGAATATGACACACTTGGTCGCAATACGAGGTTGGATGACGACCATCGTGATTTCATGCTTACGCTGGTTGATGAGAACCCCACGATGTATCTGGACGAAATTCGCTTCGCTGTATATCGAGAATTTGGCAAATGGGTCTCCCTTCAAACCATCGCCGAAGACTTGAAAACCCGTTTGTCATTAACCTTGAAGAAAACCCGCACGGTCCACCCGAACCAAAGCGCCGACCAGCGCGCTCGATATCTACATGCCGTGGGTGGTTTGCGTCCTGAAATGATGGTCTTTTTGGGTACATTGATTTCTGTCCTTTTGGGTGAGCTGAAAGCGTCAAACTGATAATATAACCCTAGATGAATGCGCCATTCAGGAGAGGGCTCTGCGCAGAGAAAACGGTTGGGCTGCTAAAGGGCACCGCACAAAAAGAATGCCCTGGAGCCGCGGTGGCAAACGTTATTCTCTGCTACCCGCTATCTTCAAAGGGGGTGTGTTGGCAATGGCGTGCCAAGTTGGAAGCTTTGATCGCAAAGATTTTGAAGGTTTTCTCAAACATCAACTGGTAAGTCTGATTTCTATTTGCTTATGTATTTCTTCTTCATCGTCTCTGACCACCTCGGTGGTAGTTTCCTCTTATGAATCCATACCCGCAGGCAAACTCCGTCTTGATTATGGATAATGCACGCATCCACCATGGAGGACGAATTGCTGAATTGGCCGAGGAAAGGGGTATTCGGATTATGTACTTACCTCCCTACTCTCCAGATTTTAACCCGATAGAGAAGGCCTTCAGCGTCCTAAAATCAGCTTTCCGTCGAACACAAATTCTTGGCCGCACCGCGTTAGAAGAAAAGATTGATATCATCATGAATGTGACTTGGAACACTTTCACAGGAGGTCTCATGCATAAGTTATATGCGGTCTGTGGGTATTGGATATAGTGACTTCCAAACTTGTCCACTCAGTGTTTTTACGACTTGTCTCTCAATGTTCTGCTTGTGTGAAGATGTTGTACATCTTTTTGTGTGCTTTTTTTTGTTTTTTCGGATGTTCAGATGGATGGTTTACGGCGCAAGGAAAACCACTTCCAAATGATAATTCAAAGTTTCCATGTGGTGCCTTTATTTTCCATCGGTTCTAAACTCGCTTGGATGGTGCACAGCCTGTGCAAACACGAGAGCAAAATTGGCTTATCCATTTTTCCAATGGATAAGCTGGTTGATTGTAGAATGGAGATTGATCCTAGCTGAAGTTGATCCTACTTCAGCTAGGATCAAACATAAATTTTTATAAGGTCAGAAATGGTCATTCCAAGATCGGCTTCACCGTACAGCTTCAACTTGAAGATGTACGGTAGGTTGCTTCATTGAAATTTTCAAGTGAAAGTTCATGATGTCTCTGACTTTCAAAATGGGCGGGTGATCAATGCATATCTAGTATTGCATAAGCTATAGACTAACACAAACTATCTAAACACAAGATCATGTTGCACAGAGTGGGGATGACAAACAAGAACAAAGAATTTTTCTTTCAGACTTAGAAAACATGGATATCACAATTTTTCACTATCAAGAAAAGAATCATACGGATTCTTTGGGCATACTTTTGAGAAATCGAGTGAGATATGATGATCATTAATCTTTCTTTTTGATTTGTTCAAGGAATTTGGGCACAGCCTTCCATAAGTCTTCCGCATGAGCAAAAGGTATGCCCATTGAACGCAAAGCGACAATGGTGTACGTTTCGCGGTCAAGCAAACGACGGAAATCATTGATGCCTTCTTTGTCTAACGCATCGCGAGTCTTCTTCAATCCTTCGTGGATTCCAGCGAATTCCAAAAATTCTTCAAAGGAAGGTTGAACGTGAGCCGGGGGAGGGGATAAACAAGGCTGAACATTAACTGAAGGTGAAACGTTGGACAATGGAACTTGAGGCCCCATGATCGCCATGTTCGGAGTGGAGAGCGGGGTGCCACCAGGTAAGGAAGGACTCGGAACTTGGCCATAGTAATTATGGTGGATAATGGTACCTCCAGATGGCGAAGCAGCCATCTGGTGACCTCGAGAGCGTCGATCGGGTAAGCCAAGGAGTTTAGCTTTCTCCTCTTCGTAGTCAGAAGCATTGACCCATTTGAAGCCAGGACGATCCATGGGTGGATTCACTTCGTCAACTCCACAGACGCCAGCAGCCTGCAAAAAAACAATTGTTCATCAATGTCCAAGATTTATGAGAACACCCTTGAACAAAACCTTGACTCACCCAGTCGTCTGCCCAATGACGGATGCGAGCAGTATTTAGAAGTAATACTTGCTCCGGCTGCTTGGGATTGACTACCGTAGCCACGTTTTCGCCTGACTTGAAAGCCTTTTCAAATTGTGACATCAAAGTCTTGTAATTTTTCTCCGCCGCGCTAAGGATATCAGACTGAAAGATAATGTTAGTATAGAGTAGTTAAGCGGGTTAAGAGAGACTACTCACCCCGGCGGACTCAGAATCTTCCGCTTCAGACAATGAAGGGAATCCCTTGATCTTGCGGCGCACACATCGAGTTACTTCTTCGTTGTTTTTGGGGTTAGGGTGAGTGATCTTGAAACCCATGTGCGCATCGGCGGGCGCAGCAAGGACAGCAACGATCAATCGACTGAAACTGTTGTCATCGGTGATATAACCGCCGTACGACTTGTGGTTGCGATCGGTACCCTTGATGAAAGCATGAATAGCCAAGTGACCTGTCTCGTGAGCCGCGACAAGAGCTTTGGATATCCCAGCAAGACGTAAGTTACACGCGTTGAAGATCTTTTCACGATAGTCATCCCAGCTGAAAGAGCCGACTGGTAATGTATGTATCACAGGTACAATAGGTCTGAAGTTTTTCCATTGGGGTCGAGAAGGCTTTGGGGGCGCCTTTTTGGCGGAGCGGGTGCGCTTTCTGCTTTGGCTGGGAACATTCTCAGGTTCGGCGTCTATGAGTTGATAAACATTGAAGGTTGTTTCGAATTGGCGAGTTACAAGTCCACCCGAAAGGGCAGGAGCTACTTTTGGGTCATCAAAAAGATCGTGAGGCAGTTCTACAAAAGTGATGTTGGTGAGCATGTACACCAACTACTGAATGGAACAGACTTACCATCATCATCATCAATCACCGCCACAAGCCCCGTGGTAGGGGTATTCAATCGATCAATAGTTGAGCGGTTGGCCGTCTTGCTACTACTTAACCCAATCATGCTGGAGTCATCTACGATCGGCGGGTTGAATACAGTGCTGGCAGGGTTTGAAAAGGCAGCGTGATTGTCGTTAAGCGGGGTGTTACCAAAAATCGACGGTTGTCCACCGAGAAGACCGTGAGCTTGACGTGAGAAATCTGACACGCTGTGAGTCCATTCAAGACTGGAGTTGGAGTCGATGGGGGTCAAAGTTGCGTGTTGTTTGACTGGAGAGCCGTAACCATACAAATTGGGTAAGGCGTGAGACGCAGTCTGCTTAGTTGGGCTGAGATTGGTTCGCAATCTATGAAACAAAACCGTCAAATGATATCTGTACTCATGTGACACTTCAGCAAACTCACCTTTGTTGATTTTGCATATCAGCCAACCCTGGCATGTAATTGTGAGTTTGGGTGAGGCGAGGGGAGGTGCAAATTGGTCCGGTTGGGCTGATAGGCCTACGAGTTCCATTATGACTGAAGTGTTGTCAAATAAGATGTCAAGACCAAAGAAAAAAACAAAGTTAATCGCGCAAAGATGAATCATGAAGGGGGAAAAGGACTGACAGTGGCACATTTTGGTGGGTACGATGGGCCATGTTGGACTGTGTGAACAAATAACGCAACAAATGATTTTCGATTTGATTGGAGATGAAATTTCTGTTCTGGTTTTGAATCGGCATGAACGAATGGGGTGATTTAAAGCCTACGCCATGGCTGAGGTCCGTAGAGATCAGATAAAGCTGAGCCATGGAGTATCGTTCATTAGCATCCGGATCAGCTGATCGCGAGGTGTTCTGTCACTGTTTGAACCTTTGAAACGATGGTGAACCACGAGAGATCGGGTGGATGTGGAAGGCTGGTGAACCAGGTAAGGACGTATTTTGTTCCGGAGGCTAAACCGGAGTGATGGTGAACAAGCCAGGAACTAAGCAAGCGTGATCAGGCGTGTTCAATAGATTTTTATAGATACTGGAGGCCTTTCGATGTATTGAAGGGTCGGTGACGTTGGATTGGTTTTGATTGATACTGGAGGCCTTTCGATATATGGAAGGGATGGTGAACACACTGAAGGACCGGTCGAAGCACCGGGTTGAAGAGATGATTGACGAAAGGGTATTGATGAAAGGGTAGACCGTAGGATACGGATCTGGATGGTGTGGGAGGAGTGATTGATCATGGATGGTCGAAGAATCACGGAGTTCTCTGATACAGCCCTGTATACGCTGTATTTTAGGGCAAACCTTATGTGCAAAAAAAAAAAAAAAAGGAAAAAGACACGAATTTCCTGAACAGCTGTATAATCTTTGGTCACTTTGATATTTTTCACAAGAAGTTTTGAATGGTCTCTTATTGAAGCATAGTACGCTATAGTACGACTTTACTTTCTTTGATATTTGTTTCATTTTCTCTTCACATTTTATTTTGTGATTTGTAGAAGCTTATCACCCTATTCACAAAAATCTAATTGTAATTTATTTATGATGGGATGCTCATGATGTCCATATGAACATGTTAACTTTCTACTTCCAATATTTTGAATAAACTACATGAGGGTCACGACTCACCAGTCCCCAATACGGGCATGCCCGCCTTTTCCTCTAGTATTCAAAAGAAGAGGGAGTCTTGCTTTCTTTCTTGATTTGTTTATTTATTCAATTGCAACTACATAGGTAATACATAGAAATCGAAAGAGAGTTTGATATGGTATGAATACATAAATCTTCACATGGAAACTTTCCATCGCGCTCATCAATCATCCTTTCCCTGTCAATAGAGATAAGTAAGTTCAGAAGGGTCGATGAACAGAAAGGAACAGAACACAGAAAAGTTGATCTCTTGATGGACAATGACAGCATGACAGAGCATGACTGATTCTTTTGTTCAAGCGTACAACAATAGCCTTCGAATCCATTTGAATTTGTGAATTACTCCTTTTCCTCTTTCCCACTTAGAGCTTTTCTAGGATTGTTCTCATTCAGCATCATCCGGCCGGCAAACTTCAAACTTGCTTTCAGTAACTACTCACTATCTTGGAGCTTGAGGTTAACCGCATACACCCAGATAGAAACCTTTTCGGTCGTTACCCTTCGGAGACTGCAAGGTAGCTCGTAGACCTTGCCCACCGGCGTGAGTCTCAATTTCTCTCTCGCTTATTCTACGCAAAATCCTTGGTCTCGGTTTCAAGGCAAAGTGAATTGTATCTTGTGTCTGACTATCGCTATTCATTACCCATCGATATACCACCTCAGGAATCTGTGGTAGCTGCTTGGTCAATTGTTATCAAATTCATTTACGGCTCTGTGTTCCATCACCAGTCACCTTGATTCATCGTCCGAACCCTCGCCGAATAATTTCAATCCTTGCCTTCTGCCTCTTTGAGGACCCTTCCGTCTTTGCTGCTTCTGGTTTCTGCCATTTTTCTTTCAACCAGGCTTGTCGTGCTGACCAAGTCAATCCAGACAAGAGGTGTAGTACGGATTCTGACTCGAACCAGGCCATCACTTCTCATCACAGTAGGCTGGAGGCTCTCACAAAATATCCCTGCAGCAGGCGTCGGGTCTAAATTATCAACGATCCTCCTTTACACCAAATCCGCTGGCGACCTTCAATATTCACATCCAACTTCCTTTACTGTCCAGATCATGTACAACACGTCACCGCCGGTGTTTGAGGAGGACGCTCGGTCCATGTCCACTTCTCCCTCTTCCGCTTCGTCAAATCCAACCAATCAGGATACACCGTCTAGGACAGCAAGTTTGATCAACTCTCCCCCGTGCCCGCGTCTCTGGTCTGAAAAAGAAGTCAAGAATTGGTTACAAGCTATGGGATTCTCCGAAGTCGCATCTGTCTCCGAAGGTGTCGCATTCTGATCTAACTTCATGCTCGATCACTCATTGTACTAACGTCTTCGAGTATGCTTTCTTTTCGCAGAGAACGGGATTGATGGGACTGTACTTGTGAATCTCGATTCAGAAAGTTTGAGGGACCTTGGAATGGCCAAAGTTGGCCGAAGATTGAAACTCATCAGACTCATTAATGAGCTCACTTCTGGAACTACCCTTTCCATGCTGACTCAAGAGGAAGTCATTAAACCAAATTGTTTGTTCATCTCACACCCTCAGATCCATAATCAGATTCTTTCCACAGAACTGAATCGCAAGTGAATCTTTTTCAGCCCTCGGGAAAGTCGATCTTGAAAGCCACGTGCTCAGCACATTCAACAATCAAGGTACGTCGCCATTCCATCCGGTTCGATTTTAGTTTGTCGTTGGGTTTGCGGCTCACCGATTGGCCTTGACGTCAACATCCCTCTCAGACGAACGAATAAGTCACCTGGAAGAAGAACTATGGGAGTTAAGAGCCTTTACTCGAATTCTACGAGAGCGTTCCAGCAGTATTGCAAGCTTCAACTCAGTAAGCCTTCCATTCAAACCAGCTCAATTTGGTATCAAAAAGTGTTGCTGAAGAACACTTTGATTGCTTTGCAGAGTTGGGCTACTCATACTTCGTGCAAGGAGCAGGATGCGGCGAGTATCTTACAAGCGAGCCCGGCTGGGACTCCCAAGCTACCCAGCATCCCTGGGCACTGGACCGCACACAAGAACGAGTTACCTCCGGTCCTCCTTTTTCAACCTTCCCCCGACATGGTGGGCCAGAAACACGACACCTCACACAATGAATTTGATTTATGCTCGCCCAACTGCTTGGTACCCAAGTCTGGGCGCCGAAGATCCAGCTCAGATCCTAGCCTGATTGAGAAGGATCAGAATGCTCTTGACAACAATATTTTGACTGCCAATCCGAGCCCAACTTCTCTGTCCAGTCACAATAGTTTGACCCCGAAGAGTTATCAATTTCCTCACAATACTCAAAACCCTTCTTCGACAAACCTTTCTTCAGCAACCAAAAATCCCTGGTCTCGAAACCCTCCAACAAGCGCGACTTCTAGCGCCACCACAAATTCAAACCGGCAATCGACCTATGGCCTCCTGGAGCTTCGGCGCAAGTTTTCATATTCGAAACTTGAGGGAGCTTCGATGAGTAGCACTAATCTGATGGCCTCTACTCCCAAGGCTACGACTGCTCTGGGCGCTCCTCAGTCTGGTCTTATGATAGCCAGAAAGCCATATTTGCTCACTCGACCTGCTCGATCGCCTATGCTTAGTACATCTACGTTGCCTTCTGTTAGCGACATGAACATGACAGAAGACCTGCGATACTCAACAGAGGCGAGATCCAGAGCACACGACAAATTATCTGGAATGAATAGATCTGCCTCGACCTCCAACCTGCGTACAACTCCAAGCGTAGCAGAACCAGTTCCCTCCCTCAACTCGGAGACCAGTATACGGGTCAAATCCAACAATGAGGAGACAGTCATTGAGGTTCTCATCAACCACTTGTCATCCTTTTATCTCGATGATCCTTACGCTTGGTCTAAGCACGTTTTGATTGTGCGTAAAAAAGGTACCACTTTTACCGAAAATAGCTTGAGCTACGGTCAAATACCACTCAAAGTTTACCGATCATTCAAGTCACGCGAGGGCGTAGATTTCGCTATCCGCTCGATCGAGGAACTTCCGTCTCCTTTGAGGTCTATCAAAGCTTGTCGGAAACGTGACAACAGGTCCATCTCCACAGATGAATTTATTGCTGGGGATACAGGTGAAGGATACGAGACTTCGGACGGCCATCCGCTTCCGTACGGCCTTGCCATCTGTGGTTATCAGTCCGATCTTGATGATGAAATCGGTATAAAGCCCGGTCAGACATTCATCATCAGGGACCACGTCAGTCAATTTTGTTACCATTCTTTCTTCAGATCAGGGGTGGAGGAGTACTAAATTGTCTTTTTCCATATCAGTCCAAGACTCGATATTTGATCGAGAAAGATGCTAGCTCAATGACTTCGACTTCGCCACTCTCTGTTCTCACCTCCTCAGCTTCATCAATTACATCGACCTCTCCATCTCCGACTCGCACATTCAATAACAATACTGACAGTATTGGCTGGGTTCCTAAAAATTGCATCCTAGAGACCAATCGCTCGATCTGTTCTTTCGCGCCGAACGGTGTCACCTCACTGAAAAATCTCATATCTAATCCAATCGATACCATGGAAGATATTTTTGACAAGAGCAAGTTGACAACTGCCAAGATCTGTTTAATCTCATATCAATCACTTTCTCATCATTGGTCCGGAGAGCTGCTTCATCTAAGACAGGGCGAAGTTCTACGGGCGTTCAATTTCAAAACCCACTCACACTGGACTTACTGTTTGAGAGAGTCGACGGGAGAGCGAGGCTGGTGTCCTAATTGGATCCTTAGCCCTAACCTTCAAGTTTTCACCCAAGGTGCCATCAAGTTGCGAAACTACCTGCACAATCAGCAAGTCAATCTTGGCTCGTCCCAATCATCATTGGGTAACGACGGTAGCAAGAGCCCACACGGCTCACTCAGATCTGCCTCCTTGCATAGCCCTCGTCCTCAACCCATTGCAGTAACACGATTGGCGGGACGGGGACAGCAATCTAACGAGGAGGTAACCAGCTCATTGGGATCGGCAGTGAGCCTTGAACGCTCCGCCACGGACGGCGCGCGCCGCTCACTTCATTTCTCACCTCGTAGTCGTCGAGCTCATATCAATCCCGTTTAATTATACCTGCTATTTATCAACCATCCAAACGCCAGTACAACCTAGCACTAAAATATATACACTTCCCTGCATTCATCGCGCTCTAGGATTTCTGCTTTATGATATCCTTTCTTCTCTATCTCATTTCTACTGGTAAAGTTTCCTTTGCAAGCAAGTCGCCTTTTCCTTTCAAAAACATCGGGGTATCCCCGAAATCATCTCGTTATCCCTACATCATGCTTCTATTCAGCTTGTTGCACTCTATCCTGTCACCCAATTTAATATTTTCTCTGTCAATAGCAACTTGCATATACATCGTCCTGCATACTAAGTTTCCTTCATACTATTTCTTTTGTTTGATACTGTTACAGGTTCAATATCAAATTATTTCTATGTAAAACATCTATCTTGTATAAATTCTTTATATCAACTCTTTGTTGTTGGGAAAAGGAAGAAGCATCAGACATCGTACGATGAATAATATCAATGCAAATAAAAATTCAAGTGAGATCTGTGACCGAAGCCTTACCATCGAGAATGCAATTTTCGAACTGACTCCTGACTTGAATGACGACATCCCTAAGGATCTGTATCTGCACACAAATGTGGCTAGAGAAAAACCCGATCAGTAGATCTCGTTGCAGTGTCTTGTGCAAGATGGTACACTGCCTCAACGACGCCAAATGCTCAATGCACGTGAGTGTTCTTATTCTTCGACTCTTGTTAAATTTGTAACACCCACCAAGTTTTGCGACATGAATTGTGAACTATCTAAAGGGAAATGAGATATTTTACAATGTAACATAACACATCCCATTAATTACAATTCACCACGATCTTTTAGCTTTCCCAAGATAATAGATGATGGCAGACAATGTTATCACATTTTTGGGGATTATGTAGACATGATCAGATTGAAGACCTTGCTTGATGCTTAGAACATCGTGGTATCTACACCTGACAATGATCTGGCCATCAATAGAAAGTGTGACTCATCTGCAAGTAAAGCTCTTGAATCTGATCATTTGAGACAACTAAACATGTTGAAAGAACTCTGAATTACTCAGCTCAATTATGATCATACCAAAAACATGGACATAGGAACGTTGAGAGTGTGCAAGTGACTTTGATTGAAGATTTCATCGGAACTGCATTTGCACGTTATGTGTGAGAGGGATATGTGATATGGAGGGTGTTCGGAACTTGGATCGGGTCCAGTGATGATTATTCGGTATCCCTCCGTGCTCTCTTTACCGTGCTCTCTATAGAGGGTACTTCCAGGTACTTCCGACAGGCGGCGCACCTTATCTCAACAGCACACCAACACACTCATCGGTGATCTCGTAGGATTTTTGGAACTTGATACTTACGTCAGGACTTCAATGGTAGAATGGTATGGTGTCCCTGATGAGCGATCGAGGACCAGCTTATGCGCTATGCATAATGCGCTGTGTAATATGCGTTGGGCACTATGTACTGTGTGCTTATGTGCTATGCATTAAGCTTAACTAAGCCCCTCTCGCGCGGCTGCGTCCGCGCCCCTCGAAGAGGGGCTTACAACGGACTCGTACTTTTTGGCAGGAGAGCTCCAAGAATTAAGGTGCCTTAAGTAGTTTTTTGGACTTCTCCTCGAGCCCTCACCGTAGAATTTCTCAAGTTTCTCGTATGTTGTTCTTCACACTTTTGTACATGATCTGGTACCTCATAGTTTGTCTCACCTTGAGGGGAAGTGTTATAAATATGCGATGAAGATTTGGTAATATGTGTGCTTAAGTGCTTTCAAATTTCGTATCCAAGGCATATGAAGAAGGCTTAGGCCATTACAAGAGGACGTAAGGCCTTGTAAGGCCCATTCTTGACACAGCTCTCAAAGCATGCAGAGCTATCTGTTTCTCATGAAACTTGTGCCAGCAAATGTACAAAGGCATGAAGAAAAACATACCAGCAGCTCACAAATTTCTACGGTGAGGATTTGAGGAGAAGTCCAAAAAACAACATAAAGGGACTTAATTCTTGGAGCTCTCCTGCCGAAAAGTACGAGTCCGTTGTAAGCCCCTCTTCGAGGGGCGCGGACGCAGCCGCGCGAGAGGGGCTTAGTTAAGCTTAGCTATGCATTGTGCACACATATGTAGTTGTACTGATGTCGTCCGCGACTGATCAATTTCAGAATTGACCCGATTTTCAAATGTAATCATTGATCAACTCCTCAGACTCACCTCACCTCACAATCACCTCATCAACAATTGATCTCATATCAACATCATCAACAATCGATCTCATATCAGCATCACAGTATCTTTCAAGTCAACTCTTAGTGTCAAATTTTCGAGGATCTCAATTCGGTCAGAAATGAGAACCTTGTTAAATTGAGGATCCCAATTCGGTTAGAAATGGGAACCTCAGCAAATTTGGCATTTAGATCGATGTCCTACAAAATCCAATACAGCATTTTTTCAATACCAATACAAACAAACACCCCACCCGCTATTCATTTGCTCTCCATGCAAAAACCAGCCCATCACCTTTCACTCACGAGTCTGAACACCCCTCCTCACACCCTAACTTGCGCCGCAGCTCTTTCATCAATCTCTGTGCTTGAGCTTTAACCTAACCAGTGGTTGAAGAGGCCATTTGAAGATGAAAAAATTCTATTATCATTCTGATTCACTCGATTATTTCTGAAATCGACTCTTCAGAGAAGTAATCAATCAGAAAAAATACCACCTGTTCTCAAGTATGTATGTTTTATCGCACACATTTTGTTTGTTTTTGTTCTATAATATAATATTATCAGGCTGACCTCCATATGTTTCTTTTGATTGATAGAATGGATTCTACTGATTTTCCAACATGTGCCACCTGCACAGAGGAGTACCCTTTCATGGATACAATTAAAACTCCCATTTGTGGATTGTGCTTATACAACGATGCTCTTCAGGCTGCAGAAAATCCGAGCAGTGTCCCTCCACTCAAGTTCTGCAAGGATGGCTGTGGGAAAACTCTCCCACGGAATGCAACAGATATGTGTGGACCTTGCAAGCGAAAGTCAGGCCAATCAACTCAACAGCCCCCTCCCCTACCCAACACACCCCTTTGAGCTGAAGAGCTTAGCCCTGCCTCGATCAACGCTATCAGGGCCACAATCAACCTACCTCACCGTCTAGCTACCAACACAAGCCGATTTCAAACACCAGCTCAAATCCTCAGCAATCGGATTGTCCCCACCCCAAGCCCAGTCTCTCGACCTATTAAACGATCTGCACCAAATCCACCAAAGTCATCAGGATCAACTCCAACTCTACTGGAGCACGCTGAGGTTTACAGACATGGTGAAAGCACAGCAAAGAGAGTCCGTATGGATCGTATTGATGTGAAAAATGAGAAGAACACTCCTTGATCAACTGCCATAGGACAAACTACTAAGAAAAAAAACCCACCAGCAGGCCCTGTTAAGCATCGAGTTGTGGTCAAGCTTCGATACAACACTCAATGTGGCGCAAGAAGGCATGGAGTCCAGGACTATACTCATGATATCAACTTCTCAGATCATCGCTGGGAGTTTGAAATTGCTCAATCTGCAACCGAACACTTTCGCGAAAATTCAGTAGGGTTCTTTCAACCCTTGACCAAATCTCGCAAGACCAACCGACTTCTATATCCTGATCTCCCACCCTATGATAGCACCTTCTATTCCCTTGGTGTCAATAACGCAAAGCTTTTGGGAGATCACCTCAAGGACCAGATCATAACTTACGACACTCCACAGCCTGGTAAACGCAAACGAGGCCCACTAGTCATCACCCTTTCATTTGCGGCTGCAACCTACTTAGCTTCCATCTTGGCAACAAGTTCTCAATCCGATACAAATTCAGAAAGCGAGGAAAGCAAAAAAGGAGACCAAAGCAAAGAAGGTGAAGAAAGTGAGGAAAGCATGGAATTGGAAGAATATGTTGACTTTCCAAAACCGGTTCCAGCCATCAATCAGGTGGGATTTCAGGCTGCCAAAGGTACATTACTTTCTCTCACCATCAATATACCTTTACTGACACTGATAATACTTTGATGATCTTGTCAGATATCGATACACCATCTTTGTGGACAGCTGATCTCTCAAACTCTGTAAAACTTGCTATCAGACGTATATATCAACTTGCGAATCAAGGTATTGACCCTCTCAACATCTCTATAGAGTCGACTGTAGCAGCACATGCAACATATGATGCTTTGACTGCCAGTTTTCCTCAGGAATACGCAATTCCTCTCCCTGAAAATCATCCTGCCGGTCCAGATCAGACAATCACTTTGATTTCATGGAGTGACGCTCTACAACTGCGTTTGAAGATAGGTGAGAAGTGTTTCTTTTGTATTTCAGTTCATTAAGATAAAGGATTAACACTTCCCAACTATGTAGGACGACGTTTATCTTTGATGGAGCCTTCATGGATTCGAAGTTTTGGGGATGTCCTCCCTGAAGTTGAAGATTTTATTCGCGATGAGCAAAAACCATTACCTTGGTCAAACGGAGTTTTAATTTCACTTGTTGCTCAATCAGACAATTCAAGTCTTGATCCATCTCTCAAGGACCTCGTATTTGGCCGATGGTACGCAATGCAGGATATTGAAAAAGATTACTTGATTGGTAAGGGAACAAGGCGATATAGCTACAAGGGAACCTTGCTCATCGATGGAAAATCTCAAAGTGTGGTGGTAAAGGAGATCCTGAATGAAGAACATCAGGATGAGGAAGCTTACTTGACAGAATTAGCAGTGTATCATCTGACCTCTTGCCTACTTGAAAGATTCAAGATTGCAATGTTTTTCTCTACACATGTGACAAACGATCAAAAGTTGTTATTAAACACTCTACGTGTATGTGCTTTTCTCATTGGTGGTTCTTACTCCAGCTGATACATGTATCTTTGCAGGTTGTTTTTAATATGATTCTTCAGCCATCTGGGACGCATGCACAATATATCACTTATCTTATTGAAGAAGTATTGTATCATCCACTAGAAGTGATATGTACCACACAAGATTTCAGCCCTTCACAGCCGGAATCTATATCATCAGATTGTTTGAGCGCATTTGTGCATTTCACCTATGACTACTTCCGAGGTCAAGCACTGGTTTCAAACATCAAATTCAAAGATGGATTACTGACTGGAATGCGGATGATAGACCTCAGGTAAGTTTTTGATTTTTTTTGGTATATTCATTCACATAACAAACTTAGACATAAGAATGGTTATTTAGGCACAAGTGGTCATGGGATAACCCACGTCAAGATGGAATCGACGCATTTATCTCCAGTCATATCTGTGGGACTGCTTGCTTTGCACTGGATTTGAATCCAGCATCTTTCAAGTATGACAAGACACTCAAGCAGATTACATTGAAACATAACAATATTAACATTCAAAACAAAGAGTCTAGAAGTGGCACCTCTGAATTGGAAGAAGAATCAGGTGTGATTGATCATGTGGATGATGGTGAGAATTGAGTTGAAAATTATTCTTATGAAATAAATTTACCTCGACTCGTACATCCTAATATATATGCCTCATATATACCTTCATTCAAAGAATAAAAAACTCTGTGTAAATTTGGTCTCTTATGAATTTCATCATCATATAAAAACTTGTTGCTTGAGCCAAGAAATACATTCTGATTGATCAAAAATGTTGAGTTCAGGAGTTCAAAAATCAAGCAACGAACTATGCGAACTACAGAGAACAACAGAAAAACATTAGTTTAGCACATTTGGATGAGCTATATCAATCATAGGTGCTAATCTATCTCCATCCCCAATCTCTACCTGAGGGACAAAGTTTCTATGATGTTTATACATCAATCTTGCTTCATTTACATCCACATTGAGCCGCCTGAGAACAGCCAAAATAGCAGGAAAGACATGCCAGACAGTTTCAATTGAGATATAATCAGGTGGAATTTCTAAGCATCTAATTGCACTGGCAACTTGTTCTTGGAAGGCTTTTGGCGTGACTTGAAATAGTATATCTGAATCCGGGAAATGTTCCTGTCTGAGAGCTTGAATTGTTGATTTGGGCACTGGAATCAGGCCATCTATACCATTCAACCCTTCAGGCAAGTAGTAGACTACATTAGGAATTGTACCTGTTGGAAGAGCTGATTGCTTATTTTTTCGAGTCCGGGAAGTATTCTTTATTTGAGTGTAGTCATCCAAGAGTTTTTGTACTATTGGGATCCAAAGATACAGGAAGAGCATCCTAAAAATTGAATGCTTGGTAAGCAAAAAAACATCATGAAAGAAGGGGACAAACTTACTTCTGTAGAGGATCACATTGATCATAGATTCCCATATGTATAGCTGCCTCTATCTCATCATGAATCACAAAACCAATTGCTTTGCGTAGAAGTGACCAAAGACTTTCAATCTTCTGATTGCGTTGAGAGGTTGTATAGAGATGAGCTGACTCAGCTTCTTCAGGAGTAAAACTACCATAAATTTGAGCTAATGACATTTGAAATCCAGCCATCTTGATGGTCTCAGTTCCATGATCTGTGCAAGTCTTTTGAGGAATTCCTCCAAGTTTTTCAACAATATCCAGATAGTGATATCCAATTCTTCGTGGATCATTGTTATTAACACCCACATATAATCCCAAGACCTTTCTAGACCAAGCATCAATGAAACCATAAATTGTAATTCCAAAAGGCTTGAGTTTATCATGACCATCACTAGACCAGACATGATTTGGACCATCAACATGAAATACCCGCCTCTTCAATCGCCCTTGACGTCGTGCAGCAACACCCTCTGGGTCAATTTGTTGAAGTAAAGTTTGGACTGTGTTCCGGTTGACTCGAATATTATGTAATACAGCCAATGCGTTCTTCATGCGTCGTATCCCAGTATCACGATGTGAACCATGTATTATGAATTCCATTTGTTCAATCAGCAGCTCTGGGACTACTAGTCCAGTTTGGAGATCATCTTTCTTCCAGCTAAGTGACAAGTCTGGGGACATCTTGCGCACATCATACATATTGATCATAATACCTGTATCTCCCTTGATCTGATCAATGGCTTCTTTCCTTTGATAGCCACGTTTATTGAATTCTATGAGGAGTCCTTCTACTAGTGCTTTATCTTGAGGTGAAAATTTATTGTAGGCAGTACTGAGGCCAAACGTTTGAAGGCGGCGAGTAAGAGTCGTACGTGAGATTTTGATCCCCATGCCATCAAGATGTGAGAGTATCTCATCTCTTTGCATCGCAGCTGCAACACACTGGCGTATAGTGTGCTCTTCAATCTCTTGATGATACACAGGATTGTCGTTGTCTTCAGATTCACAATCAGAGTAATTTTGAGCGATATTTTGATGCTGCATTTTGGAAATGGAATTTTTAATCGGTGAAGGTAATTTTCAATCGGTGAAGGAGAAGAATACAAGATTGACAAATTTGAGCAAAACAAGACAATGACCGATGAAAAATATCGAGAAAATCTCGGTCAGGCCTCGTTTTCCACCGAGTTGGATACAACTTATATAACATGTTTGATGAGATAAAGAAAATTCAGGATGGTGGTTGTGCTGAGGAGTCGATCGATGAAATCAAAATTCCGGTCAATTCTAAAATTGACCGGTTGCGATTTTGGCACAGTACAAGTTCAACGCATAGTGCATGTAGCGCATAGCGCATAGTACACACACGCATAACGCATAACGCATAAGGTGGTCCTCGGTCGCTCATCAGGGACACCATACTATGGCGAGTTCAACAAACATCATCTGACAGTGAGCTTCTCCAACCGATCTGATCTCTCATCGATTTGCATATCAATTGGATGATGGAAATGAAAAATGTATATAGGGAAGCAAACAAAATATGGCCCGATTGGGACATCGATCCGGCACAGCGAATTTCATCTGACAGGGTTTTACCTGTTTTACAAATTTTTCCATCCAGACCCTTGACTTCGCAGCTCCTTGACTTCTCGGCTCCTTGACTCCTCAGCTCCTCCTGGTGACTGTACTAATCCGTGCTTGTGTACCCAGCTATATAAGCATCATAGCATGCAGACCGGCCTATGATTCCGCAATTCGAACTGCTGGGCAAACAAACCGACTCACATCAATCATCTCTCCCTCTGGACGAACTCATCCTTCCTCGAATTCATACCTCTTCCCAAAAGGCTACGCGACCCCATCTACACCATGCCGCAACCTTCATGGTACTATTCCAAGTCAAATCCGACTCAACCCATCAAGGTTGGTGTCGTCGGCAGTGGGTAAGTAGCTCAGTCATCTCTTCAGAAAATCCTCAAGTAAGCAGCTGATTCTAGCAACGTACCAACGTCCACCAGGTTAGCCGGTCTCTTGACTGCCTATTCTATAAGCACACTCCAAGCAAACATGATGTTCAAATCACGCGACAGGACGCCCATCATGCTACCCCGACTGGAAGTCCATCTGTTTGAGAGTTCGCCAAAGCTTGGGCTCAGTCAAGCGTCCATTCAAGTTTCTGTTTCAGATGATGACAAGCTCCGAGAAGAAGATGGTATCTTAGAGCACCGCGCATCAGCATCCGACCGTCGGTTCTGGAACATCGATTCACCCATGCGTGCCATTCAAAGTGGTGTGTTGATATTTTTTAATATCTCTGGTGGTGCTCGACCCATCGCGTTTACGAAAACCTTACTGACAGCGTTTTATGACTTTGAAAGGATATTATACGCACCTCACTCAACTATACAAGTTTCTTGGGATATCACTTACAAAAACCGATTTCAGCTACTCTTTTTATGAGCAATACTTTTCACGTGAAGCAGCAACTTCTCGAGCAAAGTTGTTGTACGAGGGGACAGATTCGTTCCATATTGGACATATCAGCAAGCCGTCATATATCACCACGTGGTTCTCCCTCGACGGGATCTCGAACCTATACTCCGCCCTCTATATAGGCGTGGCCTATGTTCTCCTTCTCATAATTTCCGCTCTCTCCTATCATGCTCGCAATAAGCCGTCGTACAACCGGGACGGCACCTCGTTGGTTCCCTTCTTGTTCTCATATACCCTATATGTCCTGGGAGTGCAATGTGGTTTGGGCTCAGAGGCCTTCAAGTACCTCAGTGTGCGCGATTGGACCAATCGGTCCACCTTACCTGTTGGATCAAAGTGGTCTTTGCGTCAAACGCTGAAGCGCCGAGTTTTAGAGCCTTTATTCTGCTCAATCTGTTCATGCTCAATTGGAGAGCTTGATGATTATCCAGTCGTAGATATTTTTGGTAATACCTGAGCGCGGGCTCTTCAAGTTTTTGGTATCCCACTAACGAGTTATAATTGACTTTTTTGATTTATTTGCAGATTTTATGTTTCTCACTTTCGGCCACTCGTATTACGCTTGCTCACAGGGGGTCAAAACCGTTACAAAAATCTTAACACACTCTCTAGAACCTGAAAACATTCATCTGGGCATGGACGGCACAATCACCAATATCGTACCAATTTCCATCAACCAACCACAGATTCAGGTAGTAACACGAAGTCAAAAGCAACATGCATTCGATCACCTCATCTTCGCCACTCAAGCTGATCAACTCAAGACTCTCTTGTCTAATATGTGTGAAACACATCCGCCTGAGAACCTCGTTGAAGAACATGAGCGAATTGAGCTCTTGAGCAAATTCAAATATTGCAAAACTCTCGTCGTCAATCACGTGGACCCAAGTGTACTTCCTGCAGACCCTCGAGACTGGCGTGACTTGAACTTCACCACCTCCTCTCGCAACAAGGATGGGATCTACGATGGGAATCAATTGATAGATGCAACTGAGAGTGCTGTGAAGTCCCAAAGCTTGAGCATAGAGGGTGAAAGGGGCTGCTCTCCCGCTGCGGGCTCGTCCGAATCCTTGGCTTCCTCAACCTCAGTCGATTCGGCGAAGCGAACTTTAACCTGTCATAAAGATCACAAATCCAAATGCTCGACCCCTCACGCCGTGTTTGATGATCAGGCCTACTGGATGTCAACTCATATCATCCATCGTTCACCGACTCATCTCCTCTTACAGACAACCAACCCAACGTCACCCATATCGCAGGCTAGTACCATCAATAGGATCTGGTTCAACCGTGTTCTTGTGGACGCTGATAGTCGAAAGGCTTATCATCAACTTAAAAACGGTCCGGCACTCGGTCTCCATAACATTTGGTTCACTGGCAGTTGGTTTTCTGAAGGTATACCACTCCTGGAAGGATGTGTATCTAGCTCAGAACTGGTAGTGAAGCGCTTCGTCAAACACCTCATCCAAGACCTACCTGATCAGCTGGAAATGAAATTTGTGTGGGAAGATTCAACATAATCTTTAACACATTCTACCTGGCGTTTGACAGCTTATTCACCTATTTTGGTTGCTCTTGGGTATCTGATCATCGAATTTTTCTCTACAATTTTTTGGGCTCGCTGTGAATTGTATTTAGGTTATATCCAAGTGTCTTCTTGCATCTCAATATCAAGCATAGTAATAAGCATCACTGGAATTTCAAGCTTTTTTTGCTCTATTGCCAAGATCTTGGCTAGGTTTGGCCGATCGCAAGCCTGATGCGCAGCCTCCATCTTCCCGTATTTCGTACAACAGCACTGATGTATATATATGGATCAAGCTCGCGATCGTGAAGCCCGTCTGAGGCACAAAAGGTAAAGCCGCATCAAGGATCTGGTCTTCGATTGACTGAACGTAGGCAACAGCACGGTTTTTCTCTAGCGTTGTAGATAGACTTCGCTTGAGGGGGATGGAAGACTTGAGCCCAAAAGCAACATGACAAAATGAAGCTGGAGTTGTCCTATTACGATGTTGTGTAAAGCCTGATTATTGAGCGCGTTGTAGCTACAGAGCAATGCAGACACAACTCGCTGTCGGCCACAAAAGATATCATCGCAGTTTGCAATGTCAACGCATGCGACCCAGTTGACTCTAGCCGCCGCGATGAAGCTTTGGTATAGGACTGCATGCCTTCTCGAAGCGCTTCAACTTTGAAGTGCATGCTGAGTGCGTCTTTGAAGTCTCGCACCGCGTGGTGTAAGCCTTCAAGTCGCTTGTCCTTTTCAATATCGGACACAAGGCTATTCGCTATCCACTTTTTATTCCATCGATCCATATTCCCTGTGATCTGAAATCAGACCTTACAATGGTTCGATCAATCGGCTTGCTATCGCATTCAACGAATCAGCTTCGTAATAGGACAACTCCAGCTTCATTTTGTCATGTTGCTTTTGGGCTCAAGTCTTCCATCCCCCTCAAGCGAAGTCTATCTACAACGCTAGAGAAAAACCGTGCTGTTGCCTACGTTCAGTCAATCGAAGACCAGATCCTTGATGCGGCTTTACCTTTTGTGCCTCAGACGGGCTTCACGATCGCGAGCTTGATGGCGGGCATCCACTCCACTCCGACGCTAGCTCAACTGTCCATTCAACCCCACACCCTTACTGGCATTTTCCCGGGTGGCACTAAACTTGTTAAGCAGCGATCAAGTGAGCCGATCGGACCTATCAAGGCTTTAGCGAGTCGTTGGCTCGAACAAGGAAATGTCCTCATGAAGCAAACACTGTTAGACAAATGCATCACCTTGGAGAAACATGGAATCGAAGGCGTCAGGATTGCGTTTGAATCGCGCCTCAAGTACAATCACACTGTCTCTCGCGACGATTTGTTACAGGTTAGGATTCAGTTGCACTCGCTTTCATATCATGAATCCATACCCCGGCTCTGTGGTGACCACTGATGACGTGTGAATGTTATGTCATCGTATGGCTGCTGGAATCAGTGTTTACTGTTGACGGTGACACCGGCTGAGCCGTTCTTCGGCATTCCTTTACCATTCGAACCGCCCCATATCCTCCCATACGGTTCGCATGCATTGGACGTGTCTGCAGCAGCCTTGAGTGGCTTGAAGGACTATTCTCTCTCTCGAGAATGGATGCTACGCCGGATCAGGATGGCCGGTGTTTATAGTGTCATTGGTGAGTATCAGTCTAGCACCAAGGCCTGGCGCATACCATTCAGACTCACAATGTTTTGTGTCTTGGTATTTATGGCTATCATTATGTGTCGAGTAGAGCTCAGCACACTTATGAATGAGGCATCCGAGCCCACATGGATTGTAGATGATCGCCTGAGGTCGCTTCTGGCTGCCTCCGAATCAGCCTCCATGGGCATGGCAGATACGGTCGAGTTCATCAACTATGTGTTTCGATCGAGTCGAGCCATCGCTAATAGCATGGGGATCCTTTGATCATGGACTCTCAGTGTCCTCCAGCCCACCGGGACTGTATCTTCAAATCTTCCTTGTACCACAAAATGTCTATACAGATGCGCAATTTTTCTGAATTGTAAATTACACTACACCTCATTTATTCAGTTTAGCTCAGCTTTCAAGGGACTAGAGAACACGCGGGCATGCCCGCAACAGGTAAAATTTCTATAAACCTAATTACTTAAATCAAGAACTTTTATATCAATTACTACCGGTTCTTCACTCTGTCAACATCTATCATTTGTGCAAACCTCAATTTGGTTGCCAGGTCCGCTTTGTTCCCCAAATTGTGTTGAAGCACAAACAGCAGGTAATACAAAACAATGTACCATCCCACAGCATCAATTAGACTCAGAGGAAACAAAGTAGCAACTGGGCGCCAACGCAGTGGGTTTGTTGGGAAGAACTAAAGCATGAAGGAATAGACATGCTGATTACAAAAAACCTAGGCCAGAGTCCAATTAAGGTAACTTCTTGGTCTTCTTGATGGTTTTACCAATTGGCCCTTCCACATCCTCAACTGGTCATTGATTCTTCACAGCGTCTATGACAGTCTTTGACTTCTTGAAATTACATAATAGGGAACCAATTGGCCTCCCAATGTGTGTTACGCCACATCACCAAACATACAACTTGCCCCATCCCTGACTGGCAGATGTCATGGTGGTATCTTTGGCCACAACTGCTGAAGACAAAACTTCCTTGACCTCACAACCATTAGTTGAATTGATACCTGCAACCTCACAACCACAACAAAAACCACCACATATGAAAGGTGACCATGTTTGCCTCAAAGGATCTCCAACAAAAAGAGCAATATTAAATATTTGTTTGACACAGATAATGACATGTACAGTCCCCTGCCAAAATTATACGTAATTTCAAATTTTGCACCCTACCTCCACGTCACTACATATACAAAAGAAATAAAGCACACAACCCAAAGCACTACATAAAGCAAAAAAGTGTCCCGATTGAGTCTATGGCTTGCAGCTACATACACCAGCCTGAATGAAAAACATTGATAAACTGTAAACTCACCGGGTATGAAAGGGAGGTCTCACCAATGAGTTGGGCCGCCTTTGTTTTTAATGACTTCATTGATTCGCTTGGGCATAGATGCCACCAAAGATTTTAGTGTTGTGTTAGGGATGGCCCACCATTCCTTGATGATGGCTGAGATCATTTCTTCGCGTGATCGAGGCTTTTTCTTCTTGGAAACTTTGTCTTTGAGGATCTTCCAGAGATTTTCAATTGGGTTGAGATCAGGACTATTAGCTGGTCAGTCGAGCTTGAGCAAAGAGTGTTGGTCACACCAATTGTTTGCCTTTTTACTCCGAAGACTAATTCAACATAGTCCAATGAAAGAGTATGACCGGGAGGCATCACAATGATAGGAAGTCAAAAATTTGCAGTGAATGCACTCCATATCATCACGGATGTTCAACCGCTTCAAAAAGTGGGGACCAGGCAGTCAACGAGGTACTTTTCATATGGCATTCTCCAGACTAAAACTTGTCTGGAGTTCTTCCCAATTTTGAAGTAGCATTTGTCTGTTCAAATTACCCTACTCCAGTCTTCAACAGTGAAGTGTTTGTACTTTTTAGCAAATTCTAGACGTCTCTGTTTGTGTATGTCATTGAGAGCTGGCTTCTTTACTGCTACACATGCACACATACCCAATTTGTGGATCTCCCTCTGAACAGTTTGTGAGCTGACTTTGGTAGGAATTAGTTCAGTGATTTCCAATACCGTAGCCCTTCTATTTTTCTTGAGGATTTGTTTCAGACATCGTTCATCGCGTTTGGTGAATTTTTGAGGTCGTCCGGCGTGGTTTTCACTAGTTATGGTGCCAGTACTCTTAAACTTAGATATCATGGTATATACAGTCGATGGTGGGTAGCCTACTTTGGTTGCAATTTCTATGCCTCGGAGACCTCCTTCATGCATTCCGATAATCCTAGCCTTGTCTTCGGATGTCAAAGATCGAGTCTTCATGTTGTTTTGGAGAGATGAGGTGTGGTGGTTGAGAGAAACAGTGGTGCAAGAACAGCAGTTCTCTGAGCTCTGGTACAGTCGTTCTCAGAAATGTTGGAAAAATGCAAAATCTTGAGCTGAGCTCGGGGTCCGTGCGCTGAGCAGTGACACGCAGATACAAACACTGACAAAAACTTTGATTTTGACAGGTATCTCAAGATGAAAATTTGTTTACTTTCCATCATACCTCGATGACCACACACCTATCTTGCCAATGGCCAGGCTAACGGACCGATCTCTTCAGAAAAATGGTGAAAACATATGATTTCATGGTTAAGGGATTGTAACACGAGTTGAGGATCAGAGGAAGGATGGCATGGAGAGGACACAAGGGAGTTGAGGTTGGTGAAAGGGACACTGATCTCCACTTGACAGCTGCCATGACTTTTCCATGACACATGTCATGAAAAAGTCACCTCCTCGGGACCACGACCTCAGCTCAAGATGTTGGATTTTTCCAACATTTCTGAGAACGACTGTAGAAATACCTTAAATTTTACGTAAAATTTTGGCAGGGGACTGTACACTGTTGCAATAGGATACTATTATACAGGTTTTGCAGAAATCTACTATTTGATCATCATTTTATAAAATCGTAAATCAAAGAAAAAAAGAAAGAAACAATGTTGCATAAACAAATCTTGACTCTATTACAAGATATCATGTAATTCAACATATAGAAGATTCTACCTCATCAAAAACAAATCATTCAAAATGAAAGGGTTGAAAAAAGTTTCAATGTTCAAAAAAACCCTGCTCAATCATATACACGGCAACCACAAAGTAAAAAGTGTATAACAATAATCACCTTGTACTTATTCCCTGATCTGTTCATTTAACATCATTTGTTACATTTTCTTTTGAACTGATGGCAATTTCACTCCAAGAGGGAAACATCATAGTCAAGAAGATGTTTATAAGTAGATGAAACTTGTGTATGTTCTTTTAATTAACTGGGCATCAAAGAAAACAAAGGATTCATGTATGTATAAGCTACATGCAAGACTCGAATTTGAGGATATGAATGTAATGGGTGGAATGAGTTCAAACTAAAATGGTGGGGTAATCAAGACAATGATTGAGTGTGGAAGGGTTTGTAAGAATCCCAATGCAAGAAAAAAGGAAGCAATTTATACTTTGAAAACAAAAAGTCAACTCATTTGAAAAGCACCAATCATCAAATACTAAAAGTCAAAGACCTGTAAGACAACTCAGAGAGGCATGAAACAAAGTGTTTGTGGTAAGCATGATACCACAAGTTCAAAAGTGAAGCATTTTTTTGACAAAAATTTTGGAAAGAATCATATGAAATATTGAACACATGGTGGGGACATCTCTGATTTGAAGAAATGAGGGAGTTGATTAAAGCCAAAGAGAAATGAACAGCAGCGGTATTCAAAGAGCACATATGAGAAGCATACTACAGGAGTCAATTGTAGAAAGACTACTGGGTGCCCTTCAATTGTTCATCAAAATGGTGAAAAGATAAAGAGCAAACAAAGTGGAATGTGTAAACAAATAAGAAAAATTTGAAAAGCCAAGACCTCCAAAGAAGGTGGAAAAGAAAGTCAAGATAGAACCACAACAAAAATCTGAAAAGGAAAATCTGAAAAGCAGGAAAAAAGACACAAAATGTTTTTGACTGGAGAAGAACAGGGTTGTACCAAACTCATGCAAGTCTGTTCTACACTTTTATATATTAGATATTTGTAGGGTTCAAGGCTTTGATTTGATCATCCTTGTCCGTTGTATCCCCTTATAATATTGATCAACACCATCTTGTGATTGCAGTAATTTGTGTGCCTTGTAACATAGGGTAGTCTGGACAGCTTTGAGTCTCCCAAAGTATATATAGCAATAACAAAGACCAAGTACTTACCTTCACGTATGTCTCTGGGCCTGGGGTCAGTGTGGATTAGGTAATTGTTCTATGACATAATGTGAACAAATGACAAGTCTTATTGGTGTTGATGTGGACATTTTCAGTGGATAGATGAGGCAGTCTCCAAGGGCAATCATTTACAAAATTACATATGCACCATGACTCTCTTTGCTTCCTCATTGTGCTACTTGATAGCAGCTGCATGTTCCGTGCACAAGGATCTGATTGATTATCACTCAGCTCACTGCAAGTCAAACATTCATCCTTGGGTCAAGTGTGAAATGTAGAGCAATAGCAGCTTTCCTCATAGGCCTTTACACAAAGTTCAACACTTAGACAAAGTCGGAAATTTCACAATGTCTTGTCCTTCAACCATGACTGGGTCTTGACTACCTCATGTCAAGGTTCAGAGTTTTTCAAGTTTCTATTGCTACAATGAAGATCTTGATAAATGGGTCATCATCCTTCTGGAGACGACTACTTATGACAAACAAATGTTGTGGACTTCTTCCTACCACAAAATTCATCCTGGCCATCCTACTTCTTATCCCTTCCCTACTGTCTTTCGCATTTTACAAAGTTCATGGTACTGAAACCCCCTCACCCGATTGGGCTTACAATTGAAGGATGTGAGGTAAGAGTCAAACTTTACAAAGCAATTTTGACCAACATAGAGGTGCCAGTTGTTGACAATCTCTCTTACATCTGCTGTACAAAGTTTCAATTTGGAGAAGAGAAGTTCTGTGATCTCAGGATTTGTAGCACACCTGTTGCATACCACATCATTGTTTTGGCACACATATCAACTTTTTGTTGAATCATAGTTTATCACATCTGCAAGCTGACTGAACTCACTGATTTTAGTAAGCTGCCTAACAATGCTCCCCCTTCACATTTAGTGGATGCTTCAAGGTAAGGCACCTTATGTTGCACACATGAATTCAACTCCTTATGGCACATCCCTTGGATTATCTCAATGACGTTCAACTGATCCCTGATGATTGATTTGTAAATTTTTAGTTTATCACATGAAGGTACCAAAATATTCAAAAATCTTATCCCACCAGGCATAGCTCTGGCTTTTATTTCAGGAAAGATTAGAAATGGACAATTGTGGGGATTTGCAAATAGGAACAAGTGCATCACTTTCTGGAGATGTTTCAACTTTCATGCACAACTGCTGACAAGAACCCCACATTATCATCATAAATTTCTAGCTTTTTTCAAACTGATCCAACTAAGTCTGATCCGCCTGTGACCTCCTCACCCAAAAAATAGAAAGGTATCCTCAAAGAGCTCTTCAAAAACCAAGGACTGAACCAACAAAACAATGTGAGGTGGCATATGTGACACTGGTATTGCATGGTACTTTTTGACCACTTGCAAGTTGTATTGTTGAAAGTGATGATCACTTGTGAGGAAGCCAAAACTCCTTTTGTTACTTACTACCAAGCGGAACTTCTACAAGACAATCAACCTTAACATCCACAAGCAAGATCCAAATACAGTATAACATGATTGACTAAACAGAGTCAACCTTTTGGCAAAGTCATTCAAAAGACTGTCTGTCTGTCAGGCTTATCACAGGCTATCTGTCAATATTTTACTCTCCATCTGTGGGCTAATGAATCATATACACAGTGCTCTACTAGAATCCTTCCACATAATCTGAAAAATATCTTTGTGCACATCCGTGATCATCCCCACATCAGGGTACAAGACCAATTGAGTCTTTCTCCAAAAGTTCCACCTGGCCTGCAATCAATTTCTCTTATTCCAGACTCTTGTTCCACTCATCTCATCAATTGAAGCCATAGACTATGCCTTGACTCTTTTTCCTCCATGGCTCTTAGCTCATCCCAAAGACAAAAGTACCAGGGCACACTTATTTGCTCAACTGAACTCTAATGAGTACCCCTGAGTACCCACCAGAACTATGAAGGACTCCGTGAGATTAGAAATGGTGGATATGAGGATACCAATCCTGTACGGCACTGAGAAGGTAAGCTGCTTTTGGTCAAGCTCGTGTGCCATCGAGGCCCAAATATTTTGCCCATGAAAACAAGTTAAACGGTGACAAAAGTAAGCTGTATTTCTATGAGCCAGTACATTTGGTTTAGCTCTTGAGTTCCAAGGCATCTTTGGAAACCATACATGAAAGATCTAAGTTGATTATTTTGGCTTTGGATCAATTCCCAGGATGATGGGCGGTTCTTGATGTGCTGCTGTGTCTTTGCCTGTGGAAAGTTGATATCTTGAATGAAAAAGGTATGTAACTACACTAGGGGTACACAAACATCTCAACCCGACCTAATAAAACCCATGGCAACCCGATTGATTTTTGGATTTTTTAGCGCCAAAAACTCAAAATCAATCGGGTTGGCACGGGTTTTTTGGATGGGTTTTTAAGGTCGGGTTGAGATGTTTGTGTACCCCTACTTTGTGTTTACATGTGGACTAATTAATTTAAGTTCTGCTTGACGGTCAGTCCAGAGTCATACCGATTGCCCCAATTTCTTAATTAACAACAACGAAAGAAGATCAACACCACAAAGTCCTGCTCCTACATTGAACAAACCGCAGTCTTTCGAAAGAGCTTACAGAAGACGAACTCTATCTCGAAATCTCAGGCCACTTGTTCCGACTAGTGCCGACCTCGCCTCACTGATAACACTCGGGAGATCTGCCACTCTGCGGCTTGGCCACTAGCGTCAACAAGCGTGGGACTTCTTTAAGGTTTCTTCGACTCCGCAACCGTTTTTTTCGACCAATCTGTATTATACTTTCCAGCAATTTGCCCCTACATATTTGCCCCCGTCAATATGCCTGTACCTACAACCCCGGTCTACTCACATCGCAATACGACACAACTGGCGGACATCAACGCATCTCCCAACGAGGCTCCACCCAGCAATTCACTCTGCTCGACACCCGTTGAATCGATCTGCTCTCTTCACGAACAGGGCTCTGCGGAATTGATACAAGCTCGTGTAACAATGATCAATAAATCGAGAACCTCCCTCAGCATCCCCGAAGGCGGGCTCGTGACTAATGCCCGTCGGTTTAGTCTCATGCCTTCTCCTACCTTGGATCAGGTGAAGCCTTGATTGGTCTCCGTGCTTGGGACCTTCTCTGACTCATCTTTGGACTCTATCTCACCACAGCCCCCGCTCAATCGACCCACACTGGACACAGGAGAACATAATGCGAAGCCTGTAAATCAACAAAGTGTTCAAAGCGATACTGAGAGTGAGACAGATCCTAATTTTCACGTATGAAGACCAATTTCGCTTTCCGGAATCGCATGCCTCACTTTCAACTCTGACGTCTGTGACCTCAAATGGCTTTCCATTCCACCATGTTCACAGAGCTCATCGACCCCTAGCGAACGACACGCAAGATATTCGATTGGCCAGCACCTGTCCTCACTGCAGCTTGACGAGGCTAGAACGCAACAAGCAATCAAATGGATGCTAGTGCGTTGATTAGCTTATGAATACAAGCTCTTGTCGGTTATCGTGTTCGAGAGCGCTCAATTTAAACATGAAATGCTGTAGGCTCCGAAAGAACAACAAGGGTTGCTGAACTACGGACTTGGCTTACGATTAGAACAAATGATTTCCAGTCCGTCACGATCAACTGAGAGTACTTACAGTGTTCCAGTTGAACTCTCGGTCAGCCTGAACTGAATGAATTCTACGCATTTTCCATCAGGAAAGCTGACCGTGGTCACCTTTTAGCATCGCATTCAACGCTTATTGCACATCATCATCCTCAATCCTCGCTTGTCTGATTATGATGGGGCTGTAATACAATCCGTGTTGGTGCGTCTCTTTTTAGCAGTACCGAAATCTGTACAACAGCGTACTATTAGCTTTGGAAGCGACATTGAGTTGATAGGTTATGTGCGTGATCAGCGCAGCATTCCAATTGGGGAAGCCAAGGACGAGCTGCCCGTTGAATTTGAAACTCATCTGATAATACAGCGAAAGGTAGAAAGTGTGATCAAGTACCACCTGGAGTTCATTCGACAAGATATTTGTCGCATGGTATGTCTTCACAAGATACTAACTCTATGCATCACTCAAGTGATCATTCATTCCTTATACTTTGCTGCATTTTCATGTATGTGGTATGCGCTGTCACCGTCAGTTGAGTCAAGCTAAATCAGAGGGATGGTCAACGCCCAAAGTTTGTCGGAAACTATCGAAATTGGTGCGGGAAGAAGCTCTGCAGCACACTCAAGAATTTTGGGTCCGATGGGCGTTCTTAGTTCAGTATACTTTTGGACTTTGAAATCATCGCGAGTGATCTGACTAGGATTTCGTGCTTGTTTTGACCGGAAAACAGCGTTACATGTTCGAACATTCACTGCACTTTTGGACAGATGTGACTGCGAAGTTGGCCGAGCGGCAAAAAAAGTTTCAAGATCAGAATGTGACATTTATTGACCAGATCAAGTAAGTCTCTTCTGCAGAGTTCTTCCTCCGCCCCGCATCCTGACCCATGAAGTTGCACGATAGTTTTTATCTTACGACTTATTATAAGCGCGACCAAAAGACTTATCCGCACGAGAAACCTCTCTCTCATCTGCTCGTCCCCTGGGAGACGCTATCAGGTTTACAGGCTGATCTATGGAATATGACAATAGTCATCTGATCTTGATCCGTCTTGAATTCTTCCTTGTACACCAATCTTTCTTTTGGAGATCATTACTACCTTGCCATCGAACCATTAAGTGGCATGGTTTCCACATATCAGGCACTCACAACCCACCTCTTCCTTTTTCCTCATTCAAATTCAGTTAAATATGTTTTCAGTTTTGTTACCAGACCATGACTCTGCTTCTCCTTGCCATGCACATGAAATATCCTTACACTACTTCAAATAAAGTGAATTTTGTTTACGTTTACTCATTTTCATCCCTGTGATACCCCATGCACGTAAGCAAAATTCTGGGAGACACTCAACCCGTGGAAAGACATTGATCGGACATGACACAAAGGGTTTTTTTGGTTGGCCCTCTGGCGCCACGGTCGCTGCGAAGTCTCGTGAGCTTCATCCAAGGAATGGTTTAAAAGGAGGTATAGCCATATCATACAAAAGAACCTTTCAGGGTGATGCTGTCTTTGACTCATTCAAGTCGATGTCCAGTCCAGCAAGCCTCATCTTGACTGCAATTTCCAACAAGTAGTCAAGACATTCCGCTTGACACTTAGCTTGTTCCCAGTCTGTTATGAATGAACCCAGGTCAGTTCAAGCTCTTTGAATGATACGACCTTACGGAGGAATAATGCCCCGGAATTAGTGATCATCGACAATAGAAATAGACGACACCTTTTCCCCAAGAGTATGTGCCGTGTCTTCGAACCAAGACCGCCGGACTTTAATAAAGCCACCAAATCTCACCATCAGCTGTGAATGGGCTGAGAATGGAGATAACATTAAGCAACCGAAACTTACGCGTCCGGATATTCGCGCATAGCCTGATCAAAATGATGATGAGAACGATGGCGATTCATTATCTATTCTCAAACGCGCCGTGATCAGAATAAAGGGTGCCTACTTGCTCCATGCCTTCTCGAAGGTCTTCTTCGTCTGGCGTGTTTTCGATGATCGGGATCACCAAAGTATCGAGGTAGCTCATGGCTTTGTCAGTGCTGGCATTGTAAAATCATGAGGAACGCACAAGATCCTGTTAGCATTATGTCTATTCCGAGTCGGAGATAGGTGAGAAATCAACCCTTTGAGCCTCATGCCTTTGATCATCTCCAAATGGCTGCAACGGAATTCTTTTCCAGGCCAAAGAAGAGTAGCCATGACAGCGTGCTGGCTATGGGTATGAATACAGGCACCGGCGTTTCTTAGGTCATAGCTGAGTGGTTAAAGAGTGTGACTCAGTTGCTTGCTACTGAAAGACAGTCAAAATTAGAAATGGAAGAACACACGCATTGTAGAAAAGTGGCGTGCATGCGGATTGCTTCAAAGGTTTCAAAGGCCTTCTGAGTTGGGTTCGGTTTTGCCTATCCAGGACAAATATATCATGGGGTTGGATGCGTTCCTTTTGCACACCCGATGGAGCGATAAAAACATGATTCCTGTGTATCAGGTTTTGTGAATGAGAAGAGCGTTGAGCGACCTAAAGGAATACGATCAGAGAGATAGATGTGGACACGAGACTATGTCCATATATACAAGTGACCAGGTGAAAAACTCTCGATGAAATTACTCAACTCATGCCTTATCGAGATTCCGCCACCAGTACCAGTCACCCAACCAAGCGAGTAAAAGTTTCGGCAAAGTTCACAGATCAAGTTGGCAGGGTGGAGAGGATCCTGAGCCGTGAACAAAGAAAAACAGATGATGTGATCAACATCTAGAGGGGTTCAAGTTTACCGACATCCAAGTCCTGATATCAACACCCCCTCAATCGGAGGAGTTTCTGACTTACCGTCGATATGACCAATTCGTCAGATGTGGAGACATCGCTTTGACAAGCTTGGGGTTCCGGTGCGGCAGACATCTCCTAATAGATTAAAAATATGGTTCTGGCTGAGAAGAAATTTGCAGAGCCAAGAAGCCAAAGGTTCCCGAATACCTTACCACCAACATCACAACTGAAACAGTGGTTGGATGTGAGGAGTGGCTTTGACCCGGCCTCGGAGAAGCGAGGTCGGACCGCTATCCGGCTGTGTGGCAAGCTGGGAAAATGTGGGAGACTTGCTTCCTTGAAGGGTCTAAGTCCCTCGCCAGAGGCTTGAGCGAGGGATTTACCTCATCAACAAGAATCTTGGCCTGAGCAGTGAGCTGTATGGAGCTCGATATTGCTACATTGCATTCTTTGTTTTGTGGCTATATAAACAATCCTCAATGAAACAGAAAAGGTGAAAGAAAAGGTCATTGTGAAGAGTGCATTACACGTGCTAGCGCTTGAAGCTCTCCCATATGTCTTTGGGAAGTTCTACTCTTGGGTGATCCATGGTTGGAGTTTTTCACTGGTACCTGAGAAATACAGGCTCCAAACTGGCTCACTGCTCAGTAAGAGGTGAGTAAGTCCAATCACAGATCACCAAGAAGCTGAAAAGAGACTTAGCCTAGAAATAGTGACTTTCACCAAGGGTTTGTGTTGCAAAACAATTTTGAAACAAACAAAAATACATATTCATGAATGCTCAATCCTGGCCAAGTCAAGATAAATACATGCAAGTCAATGGAGTCTGAGAGGTTCAACTGTTGAGACAGAACTGGGACTTGTGAAAGCTGTTGGGCTTGGTCATTGAAAGTAAAGCAGTACCTGGGGCAATCAGGTAAATGGCGAGCAAACAGCACAAGTCACAATAAGCTTTGGGGAGCTAGCAAAAAGACAAATCTGTGTGTAACACAACAGGGATTACAGGCAAAGATGATTGATGAGGATGTAAGTAAATATAAAACACTATTGAAAAGAACTGCTGTAAATGAACTAATTCAAGTCAGGTTTGATAATAGTAAAAGGAGTAGTAAGGAGAGACTTACAGATTTATTCCAACGAGGAGAATAGTCTGGGTGAAACAACAATAGACTATTTATATTCTTAGATCCGTATTCACCCCCCCGGATTCCATGTACCCTGTTCAACCGCAGGATTTTGGGAATGTGGGTTATTGAGCTCCAAGACCTCTCACCAAAGTGCAGCCAAGGGTAGCAATGATGGAGAGGGATCCATCCCCTATCTTCTGTGTCTCACTTTACACCTTTTTTTCCCACCTACAATCAATGGTCCTGTTTTCAAGAAGAATTTTCCAGCACATTTACTTTTCACATTGTTTCATTGAAGTTCTTTTCACTGGGCACCTTTTAAAACCTCATCCTACGTTTTCAGGCTATCATATTAAAAAAACCTGCTGTCCTTTTCCAAAGCAACTTTTGAAGAGAAAGCATACAACAGCAACGCCCGAACCAATCCAACACAAAAGTCGGTATTGTATTGGTATTGTATTGCCAATCCAACATCAAAAGTCGGATTTCTCCATATTGCTTCACCTGACCCGACATGAGAAGTCCCCTTTTTTCATATTGGGTATTGGCAACGCAATACAGGATGGAGGCAATTTGGCTTTTTCCTACTTGAAAAGCCTTGCAACCAATTTTTAAGTACGGTATTGGCTCGTATTGCTTCAGCGACACGATATGGCCGACCAAATTTTTGGATTTTTTTTTGTCCTCATATTGTATCAGGTATTGGTCTGAATATATGGGTTGGCCAATACGACATGGAAACCCTCCGAAAAGTCGTATCACGTCGGATTGGTTTGGGCGTTGACAACAGCACATTTACTTTCCACCAGTGCACAAAACTGCTTTTCACTGTCCACATTTCAACCTCTCATCTTACGGCCACAACCTTCCACATGATCAATAAATCTGTCCATTTGCCCCATTGTATTTTCTTTCCTAAAAGCAACTCTCAAACTGCTTAATTGTTGCATGGAATTTCTGTATTACTGATTGATCAATTCCTCTGTTATAGGGATAAGCCAATCTATACATTACATCATTTCTTCCTATGCTTCCAACCACACCCAGCATATGGTGTGCTTTGCTCAAAATTCTGCTTTGGGAATCTAATTTCATGAATGCCTGCATTGTTTTAGTTGTTCATAATTGGAACCTTGCCTCTCTTGGCACTAAACATATAGGCATTTTGAAAGCAATCTCCAACCAACCACATGCACTGTGTCCTTGTGGCAGCTGCCCAACAACAAGAGCACACGGACTCCCTTCGAGGCACAAAGGCAACTCATGCACACTTGTCGACGGGAGAACACCACACGGACATGATGATGTCTATATCAAAAGAAAAAGTCATATTTCAACTGATCTATCTCATTTTTGTACTCAAAAGTTATACAGTGGCATGTATGAAGAGCATATGCTTCATGTGCAGCCTTTATTTTTCAATTTCCTAATGTTGACTGATTTTCTTAATGAGGCCCACTTCCAGACCATTTATTGTTCTTGGTTTCTGTATATTTAGAAACATTATTGCAAAGCAACACCTACTCTTCTCCCAGGCATCAATCCTTGAGCTAACCCACTTTACCCTGCGCAAATGTTTGGATTTGGTAATTCACTTTTTGGTGTGTATGCTTCCAGCCCACTGAGACTTGCCAAAAAACATCATTGCTTGGGGCAATCTAGGAACAAAAAGGGGCACAAAGGGGAATTCTGATGGGTGTTGCAGGATTAAGTGCATTGGTTTTTTTATCCAGCCTATGTGCACCTACTTGGAATGTCAAATGAGCTTTAAACACTCTATTTAGACACCTTTGTCTATCTTGCAAAAACAACAGGAAGCCAGGCAGGCAGGCCGCCAGAGCGCCCACAGGGCATTTGACATGGGTTTCAGCTCATTTCAGTGCCCCAGGGAACAGACTGCCTTCTTTCAAGACCATGTTGGTTAAAGTTGGCCCACCGGGGTCAGGGTTAGTTCACAGCCCTAGTTGAGACTCAGTCAGAAAATGGACGGATGAATGTCACAAAGAGAACAAATTGATGAAAAGCATTGTGAAATCCCAAAGCTTGAGAATGGGCGACTTTCTATACAACAACGCTACCATCAAATGTCCTCAAAGTAACATGTTGATGATCAAATTTCTAATGCTCCTGGAGTTTCATGATCTATGCCAAGCTACCACATGTAAGCCATCAACCTGAATGGAATCTTGTTGATCATGGTGAATCAATGCCATCCAATCATAGCCTTTGCTGGTGCGCTCTTGCATAACAAAAACCCTCTCTGTAGGCTATTGCATGATTGAGTTCTGTGGTCCAACATAATCTGCAAAAGCTTTGTTGCCTTTTGCCAATTTTTTGTTACCCTAGCACATAAGCATGGAAGGGTATTACCCATGATCCCATGATCCCGTACTAGTTATAAGTGTACTGATCTAGATCTGGCATTGTTTACCTTTGTTACCAGACTAAAAACCCTGTCACAACTGTCACAAATGCACAATTCCCACTTGATGTTGTCAACAGCTCCTGACTCAAGGCACAGGAGATAAAATGATGCTGCTACTAGTTGCCATATGGGTGCTTGCATAGTTTAATGGACCTATTTGTACAACATTGGCAGCATAAAAAGTGAAGACCCATTAATTGGAAGAATATGTAAATTATTGATGATAGGTTTCAAAATATCAACACCGTGAAAGTAGTTTCTATTAAATGAGAATGAGTACAACACATGAAAATCTAAAGCCTGGAGGTGAGTTCAGCTGCAAAAGATAATGAACATATTTGAGGATATTGACCAAGAGGCCAACAGGCTTGGCATGATTTTCTTCAGCTTTTATATGAGCTTTATAGGAGTAAGCGGCCCTTTCTTTCAGTCTCGATCCCACCAAAGCCAGACTTTTCGAGATCAAATACAGTTTGAGTCCTGAGAACGGTTCGGATTACTCGACCATCCATTTGCATACCGAGGTAGGGTGATATCTTGTTCTTGAAATGGACCTCATTGGTGGTCACCTATTTGAAAAATAAGCAATATATCATTGTCCATTAAGACCTTAGCATGAAGTAGCAGCGAGCAAAAGGGATCTACCTCAAAACTTGAATTGGGATCAAAGATGCAAAGGTCACATTCGGCTCCAACTTCAATCTTACCCTTCAGGTGATCTATTTTGACCTGCTTCGCTGGACGTTCACAAAACCACTTCAGGATCCAACCTGGCAAGTTTTCAATCTTTCGCCTTTGGCCTTCAGTCCAGATAAGGCTGATCCCTAGACCGAGTCCCCCAATTCCACCCCAGGCTTCCATGAGCGTTCGGTTTTCCTTTAAGTCTATCGTACATGGTGAATGGTCAGAGACAATGTAATCGATCTCATCCGCCAAAAGCCCCTGCCAAAGTTTATCTTGGTTGGTCAAGGTGCGAATTGGCGGGCAGCACTTGAACTCCGCTCGACCATCTGGGATGGCTACATCAGAGAGAGTTAAATAATGAAGACAGGTCTGTGTGCGCAAAATTCTCAGAACATTGGATCAGAGGCTACGTATATTGGGGAAGTTGGAGGAGACAAAATCACGACATGGGGATATGACTCGCCTCCACAGACAATTTGAGACCTGAGCTCCTAGCTGAAACAATGATCGGTAGCGCTTCTGCCGCACTGAGATGAACGATGTGAGTTTTCAACTTAGGAAATTTCTTGGTCAGGTCGACTACGAGTGATATAGCCTCTGTCTCGAACTGAGATGGTCTTGAATCCAAGAAAGTTGAATAAAGATTGAAGTGATTTGCGTTGGTCGGATGATCATTATTGGATCGGGCGTGAAGTGAGGCTGGGCAATCTAACTCTGCATGGAAAAGCAGAAGGGATTCCACCTCCTAAATTTTGTCAAATCTTCCAAATCACATCAGAGTTGTTTTCTAAGGATGATCTTCGGAAAACTCAAGGTTACGGATGACATCACAGGAGAAGATGTGAAACATGTGACCAGACCTGTAGTTTTGGCATCGCTTTGAGTAGATCGTCCGCAGTCACACACGGGAATTCCTCAACGCCTGAATCGATTAAAAAGCACTTGAAACCCCTCATACCAGCCTCGACGAGGGGTAGCAAATCATTCTACAAGAGATGAGTAGCGAATAAAGTTGTATATTGACAAACATCAGGATTGAGATGACACATGATCGGTTTAATCGTACACCTGCCATTCCAGGCCACTGAACGCTGGTTCATGATAGCAAGACAAGACCCGGACATTAACCAATTTCTGGAAAAAGAGACCGGATCTCGAGAGCTATGTGAAGGGAATCATGTCTGATAAATTCGATAAAATGGAAGGCCGGTGGCGTACTTCATTTCCAGGGATCACACCGCCCCAAAACCCTACATCAACTCTACACTGATTGATCGCTGCCTCGAGTTTCTTATTGAGATTTTCTACTGTAGTGGTTGGAGGAATCGAGTTTAAGGGCATATCGATCAATGTTGTGACTCCCCCTGAGGCTGCCGCCTATTGATTGAATTCAATGAACCATGGTTGAGTAAGGTTTGACGGAGTTTACAGGAAGTTGAATCAGTTTGGATTTACATTGGCCTCAAACTGCACTCAGATTGAACAGTTCAATAGTGAATCATCGGGCCACAACGCACATCAGTCCCTGTTGCAAAACCTTCCCATGCGGTGCGGCCAGGTTCATTGAGATGCACATGAGCATCGATCAAACCCGGGAATAGCAAGCATCCCGAAGGGATTGAAACGTATTGGTAGCTGGTCAAGTCATAGGCTGATTCCGGACGGAACTCCTTGATCACTGCGGTGATCAAGCCGGTGGTGATAGAAGCCTCGATGGTGACAGGTTGGGGGGTCGAGAGAGAGCTTCCTGAGGGACCTGGACTAGGCAACAAGGCCAAATGTGCAGCGATGGCGATTTTATCTACCTTAGGATTGGTGGACATTTTGGTCTAGAAGGCAGAAAACAAACCAAGGAAATAAGATGTGAGTGCGGTCCTATTTAATGAGTTTTTTATCGTAATCCTGTTTCTTGCACATAATATGTACTTATGTAATCTGAATTAAGTGAGATGTACTTGAAGGTGGGGCAGCTTGAAGTTTATTGTCGTTTGTGTCGTTGTATGAGAGCTTGATCATCCTCACGGAACATACAATCTCGGTTCGGTCCCGAGGATAATATCAATCGGCTTCTAATCTGAAAGTATAAGAACAGATAAGACTGTTTGTCTTTCTTCATCGCTTTTTATATCCTATAGGAATGCCTTTAAAACCTCGTATGCAATCGAGTACATATCATCAGGTTAAGTTGTACTTAAACGCAAATTTGTCACAAACTGACTGCGCAAAAAAGGGACCGACCTTATATCATCATGTGCATAATCTGATTTGGAGCATAAAGTTGGGGTACATCATACTGCGGGATACCTATTTGGCAAAACTCGACGGTGACCGTACGACCTCTTCAACCATGGGGTATGTTACCATTGTGGAGAGGGATGGGAGTAGACATGGCAGAATACGGTCAAACAGCTGGTTTAAAATGGGAATCTTTAGCTACCCATGGGTGCATCAGCCATTGTTCCCAAGGATAAAATGATTATGAAGTTTGATATGATAGTCGGTGGAATGTGCTTTGGAAGGAAAGTGGCATAGGAGCAATTATCAACCGCATGTCTTTGGTGTATCTTGACTGCTGCTTTTGAATTTTTTAACGCATCCTTATCATGTCTCAAACCCTTGGCGGAAGAATGTGCTGGCAGAGCTTGGAGTAAGAGGTCATGTAAAAGGAAAGGCAATATCAAGGAGTGTGTCTAGAGCTTGAAGTGTGAGATATTCATGGACCAGAATGAAAGAAAACAGGTCAAGCAGGACAATAACATACATACAAGGCATGAGGAAAGATTCAAGGGAGTTAAAATGCTGAGATCTGGATGGTTGAAAGCCTACTCATGGCGAGTCTAGAAAATCACAGCTGGTCACACAGTAGTACAAGCCAAAACATGTGTCACTGATTGTGAACACTTTTTGCATTCAACTCTTGATTATTGATCAAAGATACAAGCATCTATCCATCTACGCTTCTTGAGGTGTCTTGTTGGAAAGATAAGTCGATGAAAGCAAGATGTGTATGGTGATCTGTATTCTCTTATCTCAAAGGTGTAACTTACAAGGCAAGTGGAGTTTAAGGGCACATTTGGTGATAGTCAAATTTTGAAATGTCCATTTGGTACCTAGTAATGTCATACCTTTTCATAAGTTATTGTGGTACCCATAAGTAGCTTATCTTGTGTATCATAAGATGGACCAAGTAGTCCATAACTACCTGTTTGATAAGCTACTTATTTGACCCAAAATTGAGCAAGTTACAGTCAATTTCATAAAGGTTGAAATCGAGGCGTTTTCAAAATCGAGAGGTGGGCCGTGCGCCACCTGTGACAGGTATCGAATATGCATGTAAAAATGATGATCTGGACAGCATAGCCAAGGTAGATTCATAGAGAGCTTTGGCGCAGCTGGATGAATGCCTCGTACATGGGCTCAACCGTACTGCACGGACACACATTTTTGGGTTCGAGCCCCAGTTGTTTTTATAAGTCATCACACTTTTTAACATGTTTTTCCTGTTTGATTTGCTCATTGTGATCAACTAAAAGAACGGAGAAACTGCGCTGGTTTGGTTTGCTTGCATCTGCTGCCATTGTCGCTTCTGGACAAAAACAATGCCAAAAAAAGTATCACAGCGAGTCGAACACGGCAATCACCAACAAATCTGCACGAAGCAATCATGGCTTCGAACCGCTGCGCCACCAGACAATAAATGATTTGGGGTTGTTAAAGGTTCTGACACTGTATGTTATTTGATCTCGCAGTTAATTTTGATACCTGTCACAGGTTGCGCACGGACCACCTCATGATTTTGAAAACGCCTCGATTTCAACCTTTATGAAATTGACTGTACATCTTTTCTCAAAAACATACAAGTGCTCCGAAACAAAAACAATTGGAGCTGTTTGTTCTATCATGAATGGTCAAAGCCAAAGAGATCCTGTCAATAACAAAAGGTTATGATGCATAAGGAGTGGTCTTAATTCTAATCAATCCACCCAAAAAAAGACAACAAACTCAAATCAAAGCAAAAGTCAGTCTAGTGAGAGATGATAACAAAGAGATTAAGAGAGAAAAAAGATTCCACGTGTGTTCCGAGCAAGAGCTGTTCTTGCATGACAGGAAGTTGTATTGACTTTTGAAGTGTTTTTACGGTCAAAACAAGGCATGGGAGGATGGTAGTGGATGGAGGTGTGTGGTGAAGGAGGACCAGTCAGTTGAGATTGAAGCAAAGTTTCTCAAACACAGCCAAAAAGTCCGAATTGGGAAACCCAGATTTGTTCTGGGTTTCTAGTTTGTATCCCATAATTCTGAAGAGAATAATGAACAAAACAAAGCTCAATTGGATTCCCCCTGTGAGGCTGTTGAAGATCAAGTCTTATTCCACCTTCAGGCTGCAGCATTGACCAACAATAAGTTCCCTAATTGAAAGCCAGCCATGGGAATCTTCTTGATAAAGAAATGTGAACAGTTTCTGACATGGTGATCCAGATGAAAGCAGCTCATCTTTCAAGAGATGAAGATTCTGCTTCTTTTTTCATTAACCTTGATGAAGATGAAAACTGGGTATGGATCAAGCAAAAATTAGACAAAACACAAAACGAATACTTGTCATGTAAGATATCATCTCACTATCACTAATCCTTTTTGTCTTATCCGTCATCCTCTTCATCTTTTTTTTGTTTAGTCTAGTCTACTGTTTATTTGATTTCAACTCTTCAAATCCAATTACTTTGTCCAAGATGAAAAAATTCAAAAACATATTATTCTACCTTCAACTTCACTTTGAAAGCTGAACCAAAACAGTCATCTCATTTAGTTATCACTTTGTTTTTATCACCAATCTCAAAAAAATTATAATACAAATTTTACTGCACTTACAAAATCAATTGTTTATCTTCTGATAATTAATGAATTGAAATATGTTTTTTTTTGTCCCTATTAATGACGGCCTTGAGCAACATCTTCTCCCCACATATGCTCAGCCATAGGCATCCAATCACAATTTGTGTTTTTTCTATCTGCTACAGTTGCAGCTTCAGATTGTTCAAAATCTGTGAATGTGACTCCATTGGATTCACACACAACTGGCGCATGGGACTGACCAAGAACCTTTCTGATTACCATTTTCCGTGATTCCTCACTCTTGAACCTAACTTGTGCTCTAAACCTCAGTACTCCTGAACGCGGGTTTATGACTTTTTACTTGTGGTATGTATAAAGCATAATTGTCTTGTCTTCAAGTAGTTGCATAGAACCTGTGCCCTGAAATTTCAAAATGATAATCCTTTTTCTGTGGCAAACTAGAACCATGATCAGTAGTCATGTAAAGGTTCACTTGCCATTGCCTTGTGACATTGAGAAAAGCCTTGCCCCAACAGAGTCAAATCTGAATGATGTGGAGGAGTCAGAATCAGAAGACTTGACATCCAAAAGTGAATCGGCTGACGCAACCTTGAGCAAAGAAAGTGTTCCAAATGATCCGCTCCCTTTATGGGAGTAGGAAATCTTCACAGTCCCAGTAGAGGACTCTCTTTGGCCTGCGCTGGTCCCATGCTGGATGAATATCAAGGAGTGGGAAGAGCTGATGCAAGAGGCACACCTGGAGAGATGCATACCATATATTAGTGACGGCTTCAAGCATGGGTTCTGTCTAGGAATCCCAAAACACACCGTCAAGACCTGCCATGGTATACTACACAAAATCATAAATCAGCCCTGAAGGCCAAGAAACAGATTGAATGTACCTTAGCAAAAGATATTGAAGCAGGGTGGATAGCCGGACCTTTCACCCATGAACAGTTACAGAAAGAATTTGGTCTCTTCCGCTCCAATCCAATGGGGAGCACTGTGAATGGTGACGGCTCAGTATGGGCAATCAATGGTTTGTTGTTTCCAAAAAGAGATCCCAGAATTCTTTTGGTCAATTTGTTTGTCAATAAACACAATCATGGAATGCAGTGGGACAACATAAACCATGTGGCTAGATTCTTCAGGAGGTTCTCAGGTAGATGGCTTGTAGCCATCTTTGATTTGAAAAGACTATACCATCAGCTCTTGGTACACCCTTACCAACACTGCTTTGTTCTGGGGCACAGCCAGTTTAGGTGAACTACTTACGGACAATCCAAAGAGATTGATGCCAAGGTGGGATGATTTAGTCTGGGTGGAGGATAGATCCTATGTGAAGATGGCCATCCACAATGCAACAACAGCTAGGCCGGGCAAAACACATTGGATTTACCTAAATAGGCAGGATCCCCTGCTCAATCCCGTTTCAATGCTAGAGTCATGGTTCATGTTTAAACTAAGAAAATGTAGAGACAAAAATTTCTCCTATTCAGAAAATGGAAGGAAGCATCATTTGGGGAAGGTAGAAACCATAAATTAATTCAGAAAAATTTGGAAGACAAAATGTTCAAAAAAGAAACAGCTCCTTCACAGACACTTGTTCAGGATTGGTGGTGCATTGCCCCGGTGGAACCTGGTATCAGATAAGGAAGAACTAAAACAATCTTGATGTTGGTCTTTGGATACTTACATGATTTACCTGCTTAAATTGTTGGTGAAAGAACTGAAATCAACGGTACAGCTACTGAATTGTTTGAAATGGGTGTAATCCAAGTGACTCAAGGTCTTGCAAGCGGCTCAAAAGGCTGTCATGAGTGTGGATTTTGGTCCACCCCTACTGAGAGAGGATCAAGTCCAGATTTGGGTGCCAATTTGTATGAACTAGTGTGCTTCTTTTGTAGTGATTGTCAGCCTGAGCCCACCAACACCCCAAGGGTTCCCCGAGCCCCAAAACCTTGGGGTGCGGGTTCGGTCACCTTTTTTGGGA